CCCACTCCAAGTATCCATCCATCAGTATCTTCCAGTGCTTAGCACCATGTTGAAATGCCACTCTCTGATGACAATATCTCACTTGTCCTACAGTGCTGAACACAGCAAGTGCTCAATAATGAATTGTTCACTGCTTTGGTTACAATCCTTATCCATCCATCTGCTCTCACCTGGATCCTTTGTAACTAGATGGGGATGGGGTACCACAAGAGGTGAGGGAAAGGAGCAAAAGCCTATGCACCTTCATGTCTAGGCTCATTCATTCATCCAGCCAACATTTATTAAGCACCTGCAATGTACCAGATACTGTGTTGAGAATTTTACATATATTATCTTTCTTAATATTTACAACATCTCAGTGAGATGGATACTATTATTATCTTCATTAGACAAAAGGAAAACCTGGGCTGAGGGAGATGGTACAACTTGCCCAAGGTCATAAGCTCATTAGGCAAAAGGGGAAACTGGGCTCAAAGAGTTTGTGTATGATCTTAGAACAAAACTCATGGTCTTTCCACTATGTGTTATCACACTAAGATGAAGACCCTGCCATCAAGGGGCTCACAGACTTGGAGGGGAGATGAGTTTTACACCTTGTTCACTGATATGGTCACCCATTTATTCTACACATATATGAAGTGCCTCCTATGTGCTAAGGGTCGCTGGGTGGCACAAATGGTTTGTGCTCAACTACTAACCTAAAGGTTGGTGGTTCGAACCCCCCCAGTGGTGCCATGGAAGAAAGGCCTAGCGATCTGCTTCTCTAAAGATTACAGCCAAGAAAACCATATGGAGCAGTTCTACTATGTAACACACGGGGTCGCCATGAGTCAGAATGGACTCGACGGCAACAGGGTTGGGATTTTTGTTACACACCAGGCACTGTGCTAGGCATCAGTAACACAACAGTGAACAGCAGGCAGGGTTCCTGCCATCACAGACATTAGATTAACCTGTGGGAAACATGCAATAAACAAGTGAATGAAGAAAATAATTACAGCTTTTAATAAGTGCTATAATAAAAATAAAAAAAAAAATTATGGATAACATTGTGAAGAATGGGAATTCCAGAACATTGAATTGTACTTATGAGGAACCTGTACATAGATTAAGAGGCAGTCGTTCGAACAGAACAAGGGGAGACTGTGTGGTTTAAAGTCAGGAAAGGTGTGCATCAAGGTTATATCCTTTCACCATACTTATTCAATCTGTATGCAGAACAAATAATCTGGGAATCTGGACTATATGAAGAAGAATGGGGCATCAGGATTGGAGGAAGACTCATTAACAACCTGCGTTATGCAGATGACACAGCCTTGCTTGCTGAAAGTGAAGAGGACTTGAAGCACTTACTGATGAAGATCAAACACCACAGCCTTCAGTATAGATTACACCTCAACGTAGGAAAACAAAAATCCTCACAACTGAACAAATAAGCAACATCATGATAAATGGAGAAAAGATTGAAGTTGTTGAGGATTTCATTTTACTTGGATCCACAATCAACACCCGTCAAACGACACATTGCATTGGGTAAATCTGCTGCAAAAGACCTCTTTAAAGTGTTCAAAAGCAAAGATGTCACTTTGAAGATTAAGGTGCGCCTGACCCAAGCCATGGTGTTTTCAGTTGCCTCATATGAATGCGAAAGCTGGACGATGAATAAGGAAGACCGAAGAAGAATTGATGCCTTTGAATTGTGGTGCTGGTGAAGAATATTGAATAAACTATGGACTGCCAAAAGAAGGAACAAATGTGTTTCGGAAGATGTACAGCCAGAATGCTCCTTAGGAGCAAGGAGGTGAGACTATGTGTCACATATTTTGGACATGTTATCAGGAGGGATGAGTCCCTGGAAAAGGACATAGTGCTTGGTAGAGGAGAGGATCAGCGAAAAAGAGGAAGACCCTCAACGAGATGGACTGACACAGTGGCTGCAACAATGGGCTCAAGCATAACAACAATTGTGTTGTACACAGGGTCACAATGAGTCGGAACTGACTCAATGGCACCTAACGACAACAATATAATGAAAATAAAAGGAGTGATGTGATCAAGAGTACCTGGGAGGGATCACCAAAAGGTGTAGAGTCAAGGCAGGGCTCTTTGAGGAGCTGACATTGAAGTGAGACGTGAAGGGTGTCATGGATTGAATTATGTCCCCCCAAAAATGTGTGTATCAATTTGTCTGGGGCATGATTCCCAGTATTGTGTGGTTGTCCTCCATTTTGCGATTGTAATTTTATGTTAAAGAGAGTTAGGGTGGGATTGTCACACCCTTACTAAGGTCACATCCCTGATCCAATTGTAAAAGTTTCCCTGGGGTGTGGCCTGCACCACCTTTTATCCTAAAAGAGATAAAAGGCAAGGGAAGCAAGGAGAGAGTGGGGAACCTCATACCACCAAGAAAGCAGAGCTGGGAGCAGAGTGTGTCCTTTGGACCTGGGGTTTCTGTGTGGGGAAGCTCCTAGTCCAGGGGAAGATTGATGAGAAAGACCTTCCTCCAGAGCCAACAGGGAGAGAAAGCTTTCCCCTGGAGCTGACTCCCTGAATTTGGACTTCTAGCCTACTAGCCTGTGAGAAAATAAATTTCACTTTATTAAATACCATCTACTTGTGGTATTCCTGTTAGAGCAGTACTAGATGACTAAGACAGAATTTGGTACCGAGAGAGTAGGGTGCTGCTCTAACAGATACCTAAAATGTGGAAGCGGTTTTGAAACTGTGAATGGATAGAGGAGAGGCAGCCACAGAGTACCAGCAGCAGCAGAGGACCTGAAGTAGCAGAACCAGGAGACCAGCACGAGACGGTGAGACGGTGCTGGAGCCGACCTACAGAGCCAGACAGCTGAGTGTCTGTGCGCAGGAGGCTTCCTGGCAGAGTCGGGTGCCTTCAGGCACTTATCAGTGGAGCTACAGAGCTTTGGAACAGTTGCCCCATCCAGCAGGGCAGATGTGGGCATGAGGCCCGAGGAGCCGAGAGGCCAAGAAACCAGGAAGCAGAAGCTGAAGAGACAAGGAACACAAGAGGGTGAGCTGCCTCAGTCTCAAAATGTATGGTCAGGACCTCTGGAGTTTCAAAGAGTTGAGCCATGGCCACTGGTGTTTCTAAGGGTGGAGTCGCCACCCAGATGGACTAGAATGGTGCACCTAAAGCCGAGGGAGCAGAGTTGCCATTCCAGTGGCCTGGAAGGCGGAGCTGAGGACCCAGAGTGGAGTGGCCTCCACTCAGAATCCCGAGAGTGTAGCCAATACCTAGAGTCTGGAGGGCAGGGCCATTGTGTGAATGGGCTCAGAGAACAGAGGATTATTTTCAAGCCTTGAGGACTAATATAATGTGTTCTGCTAATTTGCTTGGTGCCTGTTATTCCTGCTTTGCCTGAAATTTCTCCCATTTGTAATGGAAATGTCTAGCCTGTGCCTGGTCTGCCATTGTACCTTTGGAAGCAGATAACTTGTATTCTGGATGAAGAAGAATTTTCGGATTTTGGACTTAGAGTTAAGACTTTTGCTATGATATGATGGGATAAATATGTTTTACATGTTGCAAGGATTTGATTTTTGGGGGGTCAAAGGGTGGAATATCATGAATTGAATTATGTCCCCCCAAAAATGTGTATGTCAGTTTGGCTGGGCCGTGATTCGCAGTATTGTGTGGTTGTCTTCTATTTTGTGATCGTAATTTTATGTTAAAGAGGATTAGGGTGGGATTGTAACACCCTTACTAAGGTCACATCCCTGATCCAATGTAAAGCGAGTTTCCCTGAGTGTGGCCTGCACCACCTTTTATCTTACAAGACATAAAAGGAAAGGGAAGCAAGCAGAGAGTGGAGGATCTCATACCACCAAGAAAGCAGTTCTGGGAGCAGAGCACTTCCTTTGGACCCGAGGTTCCTGCATGGAGAAGCTCCTAGTCCAGGGGAAGACTGATGAGAAGGACCTTCCTCCAGAGCCAACAGAGAGAGAAAGCCTTCCCTTGGAGCTGACTCCCTAAATTTGGACTTCTAGCCTACTAGACTATGAGAAAATAAATTGCTCTTTGTTAAAGCCATCCACTTGTGGTATTATTGTTAGAGCAGCACTAGATGACTAAGAAAAAGGGTAAGAATGAGATGAGCTGTGTGGGGGGTGATTTCCAGGAAGACGGAAGAGGGAAGAGCTAGTGCAAAGGCCCTGAGACATGTAATTGTTGTTGTTTGCCATCGAGTCAATTTCGTCTCATAGAGACCCTATAGGACAGAGCAGAACTGCCCCTTAGGGTCTCCTAGGCTGTAATCTTTATGGGAGCTGATATCCAGTCTTTTCTCCCACAGAGTGGCTGGTGAATTCGAACAATCAACCTTTTGGTTAGCAGTTGAGCACTTAACTGTTGCACCACCAGGGCTCGTGAGACATACAATAGAATGAACTTATTCACAAAACAGAAGGAGGCCGTTGTGGCTGAGGAGGGGGAGAGATGGGAGGCATGGTGTTAGGTGAAGCTAGGGAGCTAGACAATTGCTCTCTGTGACTCCAGCTTGCCACATCAAAAGAAGCAGTCCATCTGACATGGACGTAAGCGCTTGCTGAATTACAAGCATCCTGTAAAGATGATCGATTAGCACAGTTCCACAAATCACTATCCAGATGCTTCATTATTCCTCTTTTTTTTTTTTTAGATTTTTGAAAGGTAACAGTGCATATATAGAAATTATGAAAAACTCCCAGCAGGATTATAAGAACACCCTATAATCAAACAATTACTGTTTCTGCTGTGAAGCAAGTGAATAGCCACACTAAGTGGGATAAATAAAGACTATAGATAAGTTAAGGAGCACGGATGGCGCAGTGGTTACACACTCGGCTGCTAACCGAAAGGTTCGAACCCACCAGCCACTCCACCGGAGAAAGATCTGCTTCCGTAAAGATTTACAGCCTTGGAAACCCTATGGGGCAGTTCTACTCTGTCCTATTGGGTTGTTATGAGTCAAAATCAACTCAACAGCCGTGGCTTTGGTTTTGGTTTTGTTTTATAGATAACTTCATGTCAGTTCAGGGCAGGTTTTAGTGTGAAATAAGTTTAAGTCAGGTCAGATTTGGCTCCAAATTAGTTCAACATTGTGGTTTTCACAGCTTTGTGGATTTTAGAATTACAGATAAGGAATAGTAAACTGGTATCAGCCCCATCCTTGCTCTTCTGTCTGTCTCTCCCCCCTCCACCCTATCTCCGGGAATGCTCCCAGCACAACTGCTTGGGTTCATACCTACCTTGTTATTCTTCATTCTTCAAAGCCCAGGTCATATGTCCCCTCTGAGAAGCAACCCTTGAATGTACCTCTCTCTCCGCGTCTCCAGGGGGAGTTAATTATCCCTCGGCCTCCTGTGTACGTTGTACATTTTGTTGTCACTATTGTGAAGCTATATTGTAAGTCTGTGTGTTTATGCCTCCCTGCTCTCACTAGGTCTAAGCCCTTGAGGGCGGCAACCATGACTCACTCTTCCCTGCATTCTCAAGACCCAGCACAGTGCTTGAATGAAAAACGTCACTCAAGAAGTGTTTGTCAATAATGAGGGAAGAGCAACTCGGAAAAGGTGGGTGAGAACAGTTGCACAACTTGAAGAACACAATCAATGTCACTGAAATGTACGTGTAGAAATGGTTGAATTGGTGTACGTTCTGCTGTGCATATTCTCAACCACAGCAACAAAAATAAAATAAATTATCAAAAAAAATTTTTAAACCACAAAAAAAGAATGTCCTTTTACACAAGCCACCAATAAAGGTTGCAACAATTTTTTTCAAATGTAAGAGATAAAAAAAAAAGAGAGAAGCGTTTAGCAAATTAAATTGCACTGACTGTCCACCCAAGTCTCTCTCCCACAGCTGTGACCCTTGTTTCAAAGCATTCCCTCACCCCCATCCCTGTTTTGTGAAGGTAGGACAAGCACTGTGACCTACTCAAAAACTCAGTGGCTTAACTCAGTGCGTGCTTACTTCTCACTCAGTTTGCAGCTCAGTGTGGGTCAGCAGAGTGTTCTGTCCTTCACAGTGATTTAGGGACCCTGGCTTCTTCATTCAGTGGCTCCACCATCTTCTAAGCCTTGGATTTCTCCACTGGATCCTCTGCATCCAGTCGGCAGACAAAGGATAAGAGAGAATATGAGAGTCTTGTGGCAGGGAAGGGTCAGACCTGAAGTGGCATTCACCGCCTCTGCCCACTTGCTATTAGCTACCACTCAGTCACATGACCACACCTAACTGAAAAGGAGGCTGGGAAATTTCTTCTGGTTGTACGCCTAGGAAGAAGATGAAATGAGTTTGGTGAGCATTTATCTAGTCTCTGCCACATTCCCCATCAGCACAACTTACTTTGCAATGGGAAAACAACTTATTTTCTGTTGAAAGAACCCACCCACTGTTCAAACATTTCATAACAGCCATTTTTGTGACTCTTGAATGCCAAGTCTTACTTAGTGCAGGCCCTCTGTGAACTCCCAGGCAGCGCCCGTGATGATGACAGGTTTCAAGAATGTTAAATGTTCAGCAAACCATGCAGACACCTCCTATGATACCCTCTTATCATCCTCAGAATTGTTGCCTTCCATCATACACCTTTTGGGATTTTCTGCTTCTTGCCTGAACTCTTTGAGTAACTGGGTTCATTCTGATCAGACTTGAAGACAGAGGAGCCAACTGACCTCAAAGACTTTTCCCAGCCAAAGGGATGATCAGCAAAGAAGGGGGAAATGTGTGAACCCGAGGAAGTAAATCACAACTCATTGAAAAGGTCAAAAAAGGAAGTTCATCTGGATTAGTCACAAGCAGTTTTGTTGTTTTCTTTTTTTTAATTTTCAAATGAGGAACTCTACAAACCTGGGTGGGGTTTTCAACATGATTGGCCTAGCTGAAAAAGCGGGGGAAGTGAAAGTCAAAGGGGGGAATGGAAGTTGATTTGAGGGGCAAAAAGTTATATAATCACAAATGTTCTTGCTTGTTTTTCAAGTCATTAAGATCTGTGTTTCAAACAGAAAATCTCTGATGAGTTAGTGAGGTGGTCATGAAAATAGGCCACTCTGATCTCCTGCTGTGAAAAAGATAGTTGACTGGACGCTACAGCTGCTGGATTCAGGACTGCATTCGCATGAAAGCCACACTTCCTGTGGGCTGCTACCAGGCATGACTAAGCATGACAAGGATAGGCCCATTCCTGCAGGACACACGACTGCTCTGATGGGCACTTTTGGTTCAAGGACTCCCCACTGGCCTGACCAAAACCCCCAGCCTAGAACTGAGCCTCTGATTCTCTTTCTCCTCACTCTTCCTTCCTCCTCTCCTTTCACAGGTGTGAGACCTACATTGATACATGAAGGCTCTCCTTGCCTCCTCTACATCCTTCCTCTTTTCCTTCACAGGTGTTTCCTTCAATAAATCTCATGCACGTCTAATCCCTTCTTAGTGTGTGCTTCTCAGAGGACCCAAACTTCCACATTGGTCCATTCAGACTTCTAGGTGATCAAGTCAGAGAGCTTTTTAAATGTCTCCTCCTACCTTTCATTTGAATTTTATTTGGAGGGTTGGAAGGAACTGAGAAGAACAATCTTTCTCATACTCCTTGACCAAAGAACTGCTGACTCCTGAAAGAACTCTCAGTCCACAGTGAGGAACCATAACAATAATTACCACAACAAAATCATTTCAGTTTTCACTCTGCAATAGCAAGCTAAACGATATGTGTGAATGTTTGAATGCTCACTTTGAGATTAGGTAGCTCAGAATGGCAAGGTGACTTGCCCCAAGCGCCGGTGTGTTAGTGCAGAGGTGTGGTAAAGATTGCCCTCACCTGGCTCCTGGTCCCGCAAGCACGCCATGTTGCCACACTATGTAACTCCTTATTTCATACTCAATGGTAGGACAAAATCAGTTCTGGCAACCTGGAGTGACCATTTGGAGTGACATATTCAGTCCAATCAACCCAAAAGATTTTTTGTTTTCTGCAAGCCAAATAAATAAATAGATAAATAAATCTCAATTCCACTGGGGTTTTTTTAACCACCTTTAATTGGCTAGTATAATCACGCAAAGTTGTTTTCAGCAACATGAGGCCCCATCTGGTTGTGAATAGATCCCCCACACCCAGCACGGTGCCAAGAATGTGGAAGGAACTTCACAACTACGGACGGATTGTTGTTGGATGGGCTGATATTGGGGTTTCCCAAATCTAGTTTTCAAAGATGACAACTACAACTGTTCCTGTAAAAAGTACTCATTTCAACTGCAAACGGAAGAATATAACATGTTGGCAAAAGCAATTACAGATAGAATGTATTGAGTCCTTTCTAAGTGCCAGACACTGCACTAGAGACACCCTCAATTATTGCCTCATTTTGCAGACGAAAAATTGAGGCTTGGAGAAATTAAGAAATTTACCCAAAATGTCATACCTAATACGTGACAGAAATCAGATCCAACCCAGATTAGTCACCCACTTTGCCATTCTATCTCCTTCCCAGGAATACTGTAGATATGGGCACAAAAATCTCCACTTTGGCTTAGCAATGGGGATAAACACGATTGAAATCATGAAAAATCCAGTAACAATCACATATTAAAATATATATATTTTCCAGTTCTTCACCCAGACTAGATTAACAAAGTGATATCTAGGAAAGGTACTTAGACCTCCAACTCTATGAGTTAAATAAGAGAAGTTTATCATTAACTCACTAAATGCTTTATAATGGATGCTTTCAAGGCACGTGGTGCATTTTAAATTATGTCTGTTAAATATTTTCTGCAGATCCTTGTTATGTTTGTGACATACTTAATAGGGGAGCTTGAAAAACCATAAGGAACTGCCCAGAGAGAGGGTTAAAGGGAACAAGATTATTTTGAGTTCCAGTCTTGCCTGGGATGGGCCTGGTCGTACCTGTGCACACAGTCCTTGAGTGCTCCATCAGCCTCACACACACTGTTCTATCCTGGACCACATGGGATCTCTCAACCCATCCCCAAGGCTGGAAAAAGGACAGTATGGTGGGTCATACTTCTTAATGTGTTACCAAATCAAGGAAGAGACATCTTCAAACAGGAAGAATAGCTCCATTGACACCTAAATCAGACCCAGAAAAATGACAGAAGCAGACGAGTCAACGGGGAAAAGGCAAAAAGAAAGACCTTCTTTTCATTATTTATTCATTCATTGCTTTACTCAGTCCCCAGCAAATATACAAAATACTAAAAAAAAAATTTTTGAATGTATACTGAGTGCCTATTTTATGACAGGCACTGTGCTAGGAACTGGTGAACAAAATCAACACGTTCTCTATCCATGAAAAATAAAGAGGGACAAGAAAGGAGATATGGCAGACCCTGCCTACCCAGTGGCCATACTCCCTCTTCACTTGTTCCAGCCCCAGGAGATGGGCTATGATTTTTCTAAGCCGCTCATAGTAACTCCACTCCCTTTCACTGTGATTGGTTTAGGGCTGGACCTGTGACACACTTCTGGGTGATGCTATGTAAGAGAAAGTTTGCAAGGGCCCTTCTTAGAAAATTTCCCTCCCCTCAAAAAATATAAACACATGTGGAGGAGACCTTTTTGCCACCTGCCCCTTTCTCTCTTGGCTGAGATGAGCTCCTGAGAGGACATGATGCTTGGAGCAGAGGCAGCCATATTGCAACCATGAGGGGAGCCATTGCTGAAACACAAAAGATAGAAGAACAGAGAGATGTGCAGGACGTGGGTCCTTGATGGTACCCAAAGCTGACATGCATCAGAGTTCAGCAACCATGTGATCAGCACAGACAGGCTTGACCCTTGCTACAATTTGTGGAGTATCATGTTCTATTCATACTTACAAAAATAAAGATAAAATAAGGTCCATTCTACACTACCAAAGCACACTTGTCTTGTTCTTTTGACCCCATCATATCAAAAGAAAAAGAAACACTCTTCCCCTACACACCACACCACCAAATCCAAGAAACTAGACTATCTCTTTAATATCTTTTCTAGGAAACCACTTATTCTAGATAGATATATCATATTACAAAGGTCCTACTTGAGTGATAAGCAAAGGGTCAGTCCAGTCTCCCAAATTCCAAGTTTTCTCACCACAAAGTAGTTCCAGAGTTACGTAGAGAAGCTGCACCGGTACCAGTTGCCATCGAGTCAACTCCAGTTCATGGCAGCCCCATGTGTGTCAGAGTAGAACTACACTCCATAGGATTTTTAATGGCTGATTTTTTTGCAAGTAGATCACCAGGCCTCTGGGTGGACTCGAACCTCCAACCTTTTGGTTAGCAGCCGAGTACACTAACCGTTTGCACCACCCACAGACTCTAGAGAAGGTGCACAGTTACTAGGAAGCAGGAGCTAGAGGGGAAAATATGTGGGAGGGCTCTCCCCACTCATACTTTGTAGAGAAATATTATAACCAAACACAAACTCTGAGGCCACAGATTTCCCTATAAGCACACTGTCTCTGCCAGGAAAATACTGCTTATCTTCAACACTGGAAAGAAATGAAGGCAAGAGCTTTGCCTAGAAAGTTCAAGAATATTTACAGTCAGCTGCTGTGGTTTAGCACAACTCTTTGGATTCACACTCCTCAGATCATCTAGTTAAGGGGTGCAACCCGCGAGCCAAATATGGCCCGCCACGTGTTTTTGTAAATTAAGCTTTACTGGGACGCACCCGCGTCCATTTGTTTACATGTTGTCCATGGCTGTTTCCACACTTGTTTTTGTTGTCAGTTGCTGTCAAGTCAATTCTGACTCATGGCAACCCCATGTGTGCAGAGTAGAACTGCTCCACAGAGCAGTGACCTTTTAGAATCAGATTGCCAGGCCTGTCTTCCAAGGTGTCTCTGGGTGAGTTCGAACTGCTAACCTTTTGGCTAGTAGTTGAGCATTTAACAATTTGCACCACCCAGGGACTCCATTTCACTCTGTTGTCGTTAGGTGCCATCGAGTTGGTTCCAACTCATAGCAACCCTATGTGCAACTGAATGAAACACACCCGGTCGTGCGCCACCCTCACAATCTTTTCTATGCTTGAGCCCATTGTTGCAACCAGTGTGAATCCATCTTGTTGAGGGTCTTCCTCTTTTTCACTGACCTCTACTTTACCAACCATGATGTCTTTTTCCAGGGACTAGTCCCTCCTGATAACATGTCCAAAGTACGTGAGAGGAAGTCTCATCATCATCGCTTCCAAGGAGCACTCTGCCGGTACTTCTTCCAAGACAGACTTGTTTGTTCTTCTGGCAGTCCATGGTATCTTCCATACTCTTCGCCAGCATCATAATTCAAAGGCATCAATTCTTTTTCGGTCTTCCTTATTCATTGCCCAGCTTTCACATGCATATGAGGTGATTGAAAATACCATGGCTTGGGTCAGGTGCACCTTAGTCCTCAAAGTGACATTGCAAGAGAGATTGTTTGGCCCACAAAGCCTAGAATATTTACTGTGTGACCCTTTATAGAAAGGGATTGCCAGCTGTGGCCTAGTATAATAATATCAGCAATAATTATCAGTTATTGAACATCTACGTTCATCACCACTTTTAGGCCTCAGGACCTCTGAAGTACCCAACCCCATTTTTTCTAAAAAGAAGGAAAATGAAGCTTAGAGAACTTTAATAACTTGCCCAAGGCAACACAGATAGAGCAAAGATTTAAACCCAGAAGTTACATTCATTTCATGAATATTTATTGAGGACCTACTATGTGCTGGCCATGTGCTAAATGCAAGGAACACAATGATGAACAATAACATTGTACAATCTTTGCCCTCGTGGAACTTATAGTGGGTGAGGAGAGATTGATACTAAACAGATAATCATACAAATGTATGTATTATATCAGATTACCAATTATGATAAAGGCTCTGGGAGAAAAGTTATACGGTATTAGGGAAAAAAACAAACAAACAGGGACCCAGGTTAAGTCGTACCCGTGAAGGCTTTATTGGAAGGTACAATCTCAGGGCAGCAAGAGAAAAAGAAAAGGGGAAATGAGGCAGAGAATGAGGAAAAACAAATACAAGGTGGTGTTTTACCAAGCTGGCCACACCTCACAAGAAAATATAGCCAATGGCTCAGAAGGATGGGCCATCCGGAACAAGTGGGTCTTGGAGAGTCCATCCAGGGGAAGAAAAGGAGAGAGATCCACCTGCAGGCTCCTCATCTCCTGACTTCTCTGGGGAGGGCTGAGACAGCCTGAGGTGTCAGGAGGCCAGGTGATGGACAGTAGGTAGGCTCCCCATTGAGCAAGTTGACAAGGCACAGAAGGTCAGATGAAGCTGAGGAAATTTAGAAGACTCTCAAACTGGGTCACTCAGGCACCCAGGTCAGGGAGTCTTCCTGAGGAAGTGCTGTTTCAATTGAAACCTGAAGAATGAAGTGAATGAATGGAAGGAAACAGAACTTACGTTGAGGGGAAGGCAAGTGTAAAGGCCCTAAGGCAGAAAAGAGGTTGGCATATTTGAGGAACTGAAAAAGACCTGAGGATCAGGAGTCAGGTCTATATACCTGATCCACCACTTACAAAATCTGTGACCTGGGGCAAGTTTCAGAACCTCTCTCAGCCCCTGTTCCCTCAACTGTAAAATGAAGAACATAACAGCTCCTACATCATAGGTTTGTTGTAAGGATTAAAAAACATCATTCACTTACAACAGTTAACAGAATGTCTGCCTCATAAGAAGCAAACAATAATGTTAGCCATTATTTTTTATGATTATTATGCTAAGCCTCGGAAGAAGGCCCTGGTGATCAGTTCCTGAAAGGTCGCAACCTTGAAAACCCTATGGAGCAGTTCTACTCTGCACACATGAAGTTGCCATGAGTATGAATAGATTAGGTGGGTAGGGGTCAGGACTTCTGGTCAGAACTCCTGCTGAGAATTTGCATTTCTAACAAGTCCCCGGGGGATGCTAATGCTACTGGTTAGGGAACAATTCTGAGAACCAACCACTAGTAGAGCAGTGGTTCTCGAAATGTATTATACATAAGAATTACCTGGGGATCTTGTTAAAATGTAGATTCTGATTCAGTACATCTGGGGTGGAAATGCAAATTCTCAGCTGGGGTTCAAACTGGAACGAACCAGTTTAAAGCCCTGATATGGGTTGGATTTTTAGTTTTTACTGTTACTACTTACACTGGTGTATTGAATTAAAATAGCCGAAGGATGGCCCTGGAATTAGCATTGTTAACAAACTTCCCGAGATAGTTTACATTATAGTTCACCAAACAAAAAAAACTTATTACCTTCGAGTGGATTCCAACTCAAAACAATCCTATAGGACCGAGTAGACCTGCCCTATGGGTTTCCAAGGAGCAGCTGATGGATTTGAACTGATGACCTTTGGTTAGCAGCAGTAGCACTTAACCACTGGGTCACCAGAGCCCCATTATACTTCAAAGTTCTCTGTAAAATGGTTGTGTATCCCCACCCTTGCCATCCTCCTTGTCGGTTGAGTGAACTTCCCTATCTTATTGCCAGGCTTGGCCAACTGACTTGCTTTGAGCCACATCCTTGCAGAAGTTGAATGTGATTGCGTAGCTGACCATGGCCCCTTGCACTCCTTCCTTCTGCCAAGAGAACAGCACGTTGGCCGTAGGAGCTGCTCCTTCAGGCGGGGTCACAGACTAAGGAGACATACAGGGCTGACCCACAGTCAACAACCTGAAGCAGAGCCACAGCTGAACTTTCAGCACCAGGTGACATGAAGGGGAAGGAAATGTTAGTTGTTATAAGCCACTGAGATTTAGGAGTTCTTTGTTATGCAGCAAAACTGATTGATACACTGCCTACATCAATCTTCTCCACAGAAAATTATGAAAATATAAAGCCCTGCAGGTCTGCTCTGGGCTCTTAGGGGAGCTCCTTTTCTATAGGGATGGGTATCTTGGCGGTGACTCAGGGAGATACAAGTATGTAAATCAGGGCAGGGGATGTGGGAGATTAAAGTATCAACAAATTAGCTCTTCTAGTTCATAGTGAGGATGGCACAGGACTGGGCAGTGTTTTGTTCTGTTGTACATAGGGTTGCTATGAGTCAGAACCAACGTGACACCACGTAATAGTAACAGCTATGCTAAGAAATGCCTAGAACAAACATGAACGTAATCACTAAAATCTCCACACGCTCTTCGGTAGCATGGACAGCCCCTTCCTGGCTGGGACACACAACCCTCCATCTGCCTGTACCACCTGGGTGATTTCTGTTCCCTGTTCCCTTCTGTGCATCTCCAGATGGGCATTTTCATTTTCTGCTGATAGCAGAGATATGGGAGTACTCCTCTGACACATATGGGGTGGCCATGAATTGGAATCAACTAAGAAGCAACTGGTTTGGTTCTTAAAACTAGAGGTCTCCCAGCATAGGGATCCAGGGAGGGCCTAAGGGGGAGGAGGAATAAAGACAAGAGGTGGCAATGAACAAATAATGACAGATCCATATGGCAGCAAACAGCTGAGTCAGCATCATCTCTCACTGGGGCTTCCCTTTAATTTCATGACTGGCTTACTCTCCTGGGAGCCAGTCCTTGAACAACATGATAACAACAACACAAAACTCATTAATTGGGTATTTACTATGAGCCAAGCAATATGCTAAGGATTTTACATACATTTCCTCTTAAAAAAAAAAAACCCACAGTTGCCATCAAGTCAATTCCAACTCATGGCAACCCCATGTGAGTCAGAGCAGAACTGTGCTCCACAGGGTTTTCAATGGCTGGCTTTTCAGAAGTATCTCACCAGCCCTTTCTTCTGAGGCAGTGGTGTCATTACGGGGATGTGGGGGTACAGACCGCACCAGGTAACACTGTCAGAGGGGGCGACACCAAAACGACTGTCTATAAAATTTTTCATGCAGTGTTTCAGCAGAAATTTATTATTTTTTATAAAAATAACACTATAGTTAGTTATAACAACAAAAACATTTTTCATAAGCCCAGCTTACATGTATTGCTATACCTGCAAGGCTAAAAGCTCTATGCTAATTTACTTTTCGAATCGTCTAATGCTGTCACTATTATCCAATTACAATGATGCTTCGAATCACATGGTTTCGTCTCCATGCACTACAAGTGCTCACTGTTGTTTTTGTTGCTGCCAGTGTTTTTATAGTTGCTGATTTTGTCAAATTTTCTGTTCCTTTAGCTACAGTATTGTGGTAATTAGTATTTGTGAACCTATCTCAATAACCTTTTTGAGAATGAAGTAGTATTTAAAGGAAAGAAAGGAGTGATACGGGAATTACGATTTACAAGTAACATTGGTATAAAAAACATTAGTAAGGATTCTGTATGGTCTGGTACAGGAGGAGGCCCATGGGGGGTGGGAGGGAATGATACCATAAGTTACTGCACTGGGTGACACCAACCCTAGTAACGAGTAACGTCACTGTTCTGAGGTGCTTCTGCATGTACTCAAACCTCCAACCTTTCGGTTAGCAGCCAAGCATGTTAACTGGTTGCACCATCCAGGGACTACTCCTTTTTTAGAACCTCCCTCAAATCCTGTGAGGTAGGAACTGATTATCTTCATTTTATAGATGAGGAACCAGTTTCAGAAAGGGGACATAACCTGCTTAGGATCACCGAGCTGTTACTGGCAATGCTGGGCATCAAACTCAAGGTCACCTTTGCCACATTGTACTGTTACAACACGCTGGAGCGCTTCTAGCCTGATAAACGATGATGGCAATGACTATGATGAGTAACAGCCATGGTTTTCTGGAATGGTGCCCTGAAGTCATCACTGTCTCCTATGTCCTCCTCCCTTCATCTCCTTCCCTCCTGGGACCACCATGCTCCTGACTCCAGGTCA